CTAAATAATAATAATAATAATAATAATAATAATAATAATAATAATAATAAAGAAGTTAATAAGAACTTTAAGATGAAAGATCAATATAAGGATCATATAATGATAAAAATAAATATTAAGATTAGATGCAAGAGATTAATGAAAATATAACATGAAACAAAACTTAAATATTATAATAATATAAAAAAAGAAATAAAGAGCATGATCTTAATCTAAAAACCAAGATGTCTAAATGCATGGAAAATGCCTCCTTTTATAAGTAAAAATTAAGAACTATTGATTTGATAACTAATTGTTGAGTGGGTAGCCACATCTTGACTTTGTGACAATCCTTATCTTCTTATCTATCAAAAACATCATTGTTAATGTCCGAATTTGAACCAACCTTACCATGAAAGTTCTAGAAAATTATATCAGCTTTCCAAGAAAAAACAATTGAGGTTATTTAGGCTTCTAGAACTCAAGATATGAATTGAAACTGAACAGTGTCTGGGCTATAAGACAAATTTAGACTTCTACGTTGTTGCTAAGATTTAGACTTCTAAAAAGTAGAATTGAGTCTTACCTTCCTATGAAAGTTTTAGGCCTATATCTTAACTTTCTATCCATATAAAGCAGACCTAAATCCAAATTCTATAGCTCCAGTTATGATCCAAATACCGAACAGTATTCTAGTTTGGACTAAACCAGCATCTCTTTTCTAAGCTTCACCCGCACTTTGTCCTTTCAATTTCAGTACTTCAACTCATCAATCAATTCTTTTATTTATATGATAGGCCTGCATTTAGAATGAACATTTACCATAAATAAAATGTATCTTATAGAATAAAACTTGTTATTATAAAGCATGCTTTAGTTAAGGAGTTATTGACACTTCAAGTGCAAAATGGTAATATAAAACCTTAATAAAAATACACTTTTAAGTATTAATCACACTACAATCTAAAAATTCTCCTAGTCAAAGGCCACTAGTTTTAAGTTTTACATGTAAATGGATTTGATCACTTTTTAACATGCAAAATAAGTTGCTGAACAAATTAAAACACGAACTTAAATAGGTTAAATATATTTAACTCTATTTTTTTAATTCATAATTTTATTTTATTTTTTTGCAAAGCCAATATATACTTTGCAACAAATTTCATACCTACCATAAATGCCTTTAATAAGTGACAAGGTCCAGTTTATGCCAAAGGCTTGTAAGGCAAGGTGGTATTTGGGATATTTAGTTAACATTTTAATTCTAGCGATTTGATCTATCCATCCTTAGCAAGGTGGTTAGTTGATCATGTTTGATACATGTAAAAGGTCTCCTCTTACATATTTAATGACTATCAAATGATTAAATGAATATAGTTTGGGAGAAAAAAACAGTCATATTTTAGAAGAAAGCTCTAAAATAGATATGCCATTTTTGTGGAGAAAAACCAAACCCCCCTTAAAGGATATCCGTCCTTGTTTTATAGCTTATCCATACTCTTTATTGAAGAGAAAAGGTTAAAATATTACAAAAATATTTATGACTTCTTAAGATAAAATATCTTTGACTCTTCATAATT